CTTGCAGTTCCACAGTAATCCTCCCTTATACTAATGTGGGGATCATGGCCAATAAAGGTACATTAATTGAGGGTTTATTTTGAGCAGCCGACCTGTTTGCGTTTGGCTGCTTGACGTTTTTTTTTTTTTTTGTGATGCAGTGACATACATACAGGTTGTACGGACATAATAGAGGAGGCATATATGACAACATAGATTGGATCCAATAAGGTAAATTGGGGGTTGCAGGTTACTCAAATCCAGAAATCCCAGCACAGCTCATCAAATCTGGCCTCGAATCTCTGCACCCAGTCCTGGATCTCTAGGTCTGCTTGATTTAATGCATGTCCTAGCATGGCAGCCATCTTTAATTCACAACGAACAGGAACACTGAGCTCAAGTTGTCCACTGCAGAGTAGGGAGTATACACAGTGGGCACTGGGATAAGCCCCACCGGGGGGTGACTGGGCTTTGATAGGTTCCTTGTGGAATGCGCAACTCTGAGCGGCACATCGGCCAACTGTCAGGTCGGCAGTCCTGGTAGGCTGCAGAGCCTAATGGTAGATGAGGTGTGCAGGAATAATAATTTCTAGGCTGTCCGTGTCCCCCTTTAGTCAGGGTGCTTGCAATTTTAGTTAATTTAAGGCTTGCTTCTGGAAAACACATCTTGCCAGCACGAGTCATTAAACCTTGCCAAAATTCGATTGGGAAAAAAAATCAGCTGACAAAAGTTAATATTATCAACTGGTTTGGGCGAATTTAACTAAATCAAGACCATAGTTTGGTTATTTAACCCCTTCCCGACTGCGGACATACTAGATACGTCCAACAACATTTGTCCTTAAGGACCTAGTAGGTCTGCGGTATTTCTACTTATTTACGCGATCGGTGTTCCGCTCCGTCTGTCAGACAGTCCCCCCTTTGCAAATTAGGACCACAAGGAAGATGTGACCGCTCTAAAAGAGCGTTCACATGGCCGCAATAGGCGCCCATAGTGCTGTCTGCAGGGGGAATGCCTGAACTGACAGGGAGTCCCCATGCTGGTGAAAAATTAAAGTTAAAAGGTTAATGAATAAAAAAAAATATATATATATATATATATATATATATATATATATATATATATATATATATATATATATATATATATATATATATATATATATATATATATTAAACTTCTTACTAAGTGTATTTTTTTTAATTAATATATACATATGAATAAAAGCCCACTGGAAATAAAATCACTGGAAATCTGCAGTTGCAGTATCAGCAGGGCCGGATTAACATAGGGGCTGATGGAGCTGCAGCTCCAGGCCCAGGCCCATGGAATAGGCCCATTTAAAAAAAAAAAATTTTTTTTTTTTTTTTTACACACTACTCTTAGGTTTGCCACCTGACTGGTATTTTAATGGCACAGATGGTATTTGAGGCTGCCTGGTCGTGCCGGTATTGCAGTAATACCGGCAATACAAATGCAGGTCATTTTCTCAGAATAAATGGAAACTAGAAAAGCTACAATTTCTGGGGAAATTGTGTGGTGTTCTTGCCTCCACCAGAAGTCTACAACTGGAGTGGGCGGAGTAACTGTTATCATTTACATAGCACATTTAATTGCAACGTTGTTGCACAGTTACATTAACCCCTTAAAACCGGAGGACGTACAATTACGCCCTCTAATAGGCGGCTCTAAACGCCGCCGGGCGTAATTGTACGCCCTCCGGTTTTTGTTAACTTACCCGGTCGCCGGCGGTCCCACGCCGGCGATCGCGGTTGGGGGGACTCCCAGGGAGCCCCCCGCGGCACATCCGTCCTCGTTGAAGACCCCCGGCCATGTGAGAGTGGGGTCCTAGCGAGGACCCCACAATCACATGGCCGGGTATAGCTGGCTTCTGTATTGCCGGCAGGGGGGCTGCCTGTAATGACAGGTGGTCCCCCTGCTGGCTGAAAATAAAAGTAAAATAAGTTAATGGTGTAAAAAAAAAATTATTATATATACTTAGATCATATATATATATTATATATATATATGATATAAGTATATATATACACATATACATACACACACATACACCGTCTAGGTGTATTTTACTATTAATATATATATAATTATATATATATATATTAATATCAAATTACATGTAGACGTAGACTGATACTGATTAAATATATATATAATTATTGTATATATATTTATATATATAATATATTAAAAAAATGTAAATACGCTAAAAAATAAAATTAAAAAAATAATTAAAAATAAATAATTAAAAAATATATAGATGTGTGTTATTTCGTTCTAACTGTATTGTGAAATTAATATATATATATATATATATATATATATATCAAAATACACAAAGAACGAAATAATATATATATTTATACACATAAATATATACGTATATATCACTATATATATACCTATATATAAATAAAAATATTTAAAAATTATATAGATATATACATATATATACACATACGTATATATATACATATATTAATTCTACATATATATTTATGTAATATTTTTACATAATTAGGTATCTTAATTAATTACAATTAGCAGGACCTGCCTGACAACCATGCCGAAAGTAAAGGGAATTTAATTTGCTAGCACTATATTTAACCCTATAACTTTCCAAGACACCATAAAACCTGTACATGGGGGGTACTGTTCTACTCGGGAGACTTCGCTGAACACAAATATTAGTGTTTCAAAACAGTAAAATGTATTACAACGATGATATCGCCAGTAAAAGTTAAGTTTTTTGCATTTTTCACGCACAAACAGCATTACATGGACAATATTATTGCTGTGATACTTTTTACTGTTTTGAAACACAAATATTTGTGTTCAGCGAAGTCATGTGCAGGTTTTATGGTGTTTTCAAAAGTTACAGCGTCAAATATAAGGCTTGCGTTTCATTTTTTTCACATTAAAATTCGCCAGATTGGTTACGTTGCCTTTGAGACCCTATGGTAGCCCAAGAATGAAAATTACCCCTATGATGGCATACCATTTGCAATATTAGACAACCCAAGGTATTGCAAACAGGGTATGTCCAGTCTTTTTTAGTAGCCACTTAGTCACAAACACTGGCCAAAATTGGCGTTTTTGCATTTTTCACACACAAACAAATACTAACGCTAACTTTGGCCAGTGTTTGTGACCAAATGGCTACTAAAAAAGACTGGACATACCCATTTGCAATACCTTGGGTTGTCTACTATTGCAAATGGTATGCCATTATGGGTGTAAATTTCATTCCTGGGCTACTATACAGTCTCAAAGGCAACGTAACCAATCTGGCGAATTTCAATTTCAAATGTAACGTGCTATATTTGACCCTGTAACTTCCCAAAACGCCATAAAACCTGTACATAGGGGGTACTGTCTTACACGTGAGACTTTGCTAAATACAAATATGTGTATTTTATTGCAGTAAAATCAAACAGTATTATGACACTGACCTTTAAAATGCAATTTAGAACTAAAAAAATCAAAAAAATCGTATTTTTCTCCCATTTTTTTCATATTAAATTATGTTTCATAGCTAAATATTTGATATTAAATGAAAGCCCTGTTTCCCCTGAATAAAATGATATATAATAAGGGTGGGTGCATTTACTATGAAAGAGGTGTATTACAGTTGGACAGACATGTAGCGCAAATGCCAGGTTTTGTTTACATTTTGTTTCGTTCACACTGTGTACATTTGGCTCCGTCCTTAAGGGGTTAGAAGCATACATTTATAAAACATTAGCAAGTGTTCAAAAGGCCCTGTCTATGACATCACTTGCTGCTGCAGCTTGACATAGGTCAGAGAATTTTGGTGGTTGCCATCCTCAAACGGCCGTATCTTAAAAACTATAACTCCTACAGTGAAGAGCTTTATATTGTGAGAATCGCAAGACCCAGACCTACATTTTGATGCATAGTATGTCTCTGAAGTATTAAAAATGAAGGAACAGTCGCAGTTTAGAAATTGCACTTCAAATTTGAGCTTGGCAGAGTGAAGTTTCAATGAATGTCAATGGACGGCATTAGTTGCAAACAAATGATTATATTGTGAAAACTATCAGGACTATGGCTTAGCCGTTGACATATTTAGTGGCAGCAGGGATAGCTGAACGTTTTGATATAAGATTTGTGTAGGTGGGCCTGAAAATAAGGGAGTGGTGGCAGTTTAGAAATCATGTCCTGATTTTTCAGCTTTTGCAAGCTCCCACTCTAGCTTTGCCATTCATTCCTATGGGACAAATTTCGCCACAAGAACGACGATATTCCGTGAACCATTCGGCGAAACGTTCCACAAAATAATAGCAATCCGATCGGGAACAATCTGCACGTTTTGGTAAATTTTTGTCTATGTAGTGTAAAAACTGTGGGAGGAGTTAGGGTGGCAAATTTTGCTATAATAAGAATAATAATAATAATAATAATATATATGTAGAGATAACGTAAGTAGTCTTGCATGCAAGAGTACTTAATAATATTAATATATATGTGAGATAACATTAGATGTCTTGCTATGCAAGAACATGATACTCTGTCTAGCACAGCCAGTAGGGGTCACTGTGTGTGGAGAGAGGCAGGGATAGGAAGTTACAGAATATCCCTGCCTCTCTCTACTACTCACTGATCCATGGGGGAGCAGCTACACAGCACAGAGAGTCCAGACAGCAGCTCTACAGCTCAGGTAAGTGAGGGATGGGGGGAAAGGCAGCAGGGACACATGGGGACACTGAGACACTAGGGGACACATGGAGACACTGAGACACTAGGGGACATATGGGGACACTGAGACACTAGGGGACACAAACACTAGCACACAGACACTGGGAGACCTGGGAACACTGAGACACTTGGGGACAATGAGACATTAGGGGACACTGACACTTGGGGACATATGGGGACACAGACACTAGGGGACACAGACACTAGGGAACACATGGGGACACAGACACTAGGGGACACTGAGACACTAGGAGACCTGGGGACACAGACACTTGGGGACACTGGAAAACATGGGGACACAGACACTGGGACACATGGGGATGCTGAGACACATGGGGATGCTGTGAGACATAGGGACATTGGGACACGGCGACACTATGTCCCCCAGCCAGTGTCCCTAGTGTCTCAGTGTCCCCAAGTCTCCCAGTGTCTGTGTCCCATGTCTCTCAGTGTGCCTAGTGTCCCCATGTGTCCCAATGTCCCCATGTCTATGTCCACAACTGTCCCCATGTCTCCCCAAGTGTCTGTCTCCCAGACAGTGTCCACTAGTCTCCCAGTATCCCCTAGTCTCCCAGTGTCCCCTAGTCTCCCAGTGTCTATGTCCCTAGTGTCTTAGTGTCCCCAAATGTTTCAGTGTCTCCATGTCTCCCAGTGTCTATGTTCCCAGTGTCTCAGTGTGCCTGGTTTCCCCATGTCTCCCAGTGTCCCTATATGTCCCAGTGTCCACATGTCTGTCCCCATGTCTCCCAGTGTCCCCAAGTGTCTGTCTCCCAGCCAGTGTCCCCTAGTCTCCCAGTGTCCCCTAGTCTCCCAGTGTCTGTGTTCCCATGTCTGTTTCCCTAGTGTCTTAGTGTCCCCAAATGTTTTAGTGTCCCCATGTCTCCCAGTGTCTGTGTCCCTAGGGTCTCAGTGTCCCCATTTCTCCCAGTTTCCCTAAATGTCTCAGTGTCCCCATGTCTCCCATGTCTCTGTGTCCCCGGGTCTCTCAGTGTCCCCATGTCTCTAAGTGTCCCCAGTATCCTAGTGACATGGGGACACACTGAGACATTGGGACACTGGGAGAAATGGGGACACAGACACTGGGAGACTAGGGGACTGGGCGACATGGGGACACTGACACTGTGATACATAGGGACACTGAGACACTGGGTGACTTGAGAGACTGAGACACTGGGAGCAATCCATCTATACAGCAGAATCAAACTGCGAGTAGTTTGTTGGTGATTTTACAGAATTTTCTCTGATGTCACTCCTTGTGATTTACATCATGTGATGTCACGCATAACTAATTATACAAATGATTAAGGCTGGTATTTTTTTCCAAGAAAGGTGGCAACCTTAACTACTCTTCACATACTCTTGCTTAAAGGAGCACTATAGTGTCAGGAACACAATCATGTATTTCTTACCCTATTATGTTAAAACCACCACCCTAGCCCCTTCTTGCCTCCCTAAATATAGTAAAATATTACTTGTATTCAATTCTGCAGCTGCTGGCTCAGAAGTGGTGATCTGAGCAAATTACAATACTTCCCCATAGGATTGTTTGAGACTGTCAAATAGGCAGATCAGGGGCAGAGCCAGCACAAGTCCAACATAGCCCTGGCCAATCAGCATCTCCTCATAAAGATAAATTGAATCAATGCATCTCTGTGAGGAAAGTTTAGTGTCTGCATGCAAAGGGTGGAGACACTGAATGGCAGTGCTGCACACTAGGCAGTACTGCCCCAGGAAGCACCTCTAGCAGCCATCTAAGGAGCGGCCAGTGGAGTTATTTTCTCTGAAAAGACAGTGTTTACTGCAAAAAGCCTGAATGGAATGATTCTACTTACCAGAACAATATACAATAAGCTGTAGTTGTTCTGGTGACTATAGTGTCCCTTTAAGTTTGGAAGCTTAAGAGGGATGTATGGGAACAAAACTTGTGTGCACTGGCTGACATTAAGGTTAGTTTAGGTAATGCAGACGTTGGTCTCTCTAACACTGTGGCATGTCCCTTTTCTTCTACACTCACTACAGACACCTTTTCTCTGTCTCAGACTATATACCAGGACCTTCTGCCTGCTAGTAAGAAGGTAAGGAGACAAGTGGACCAGCAAGTGCTAGGGGACAGTCCTTAGAAAGAGTGAGCGCATCATTAGACGCATTTATGTCAAGTCAAGGTGCTGCCTGCATAGGATGCCCTTAGTTGGACAGCCTGCAGGATTGGCAGGAAGCCTGACATGCATTCATGCCAGGCTGACCTTCCAATTCTTTGGACAAACATGCCCCCTTTTTGGGCATGTTCACCCCTTTTGGCAGGTCTTGTCACGTGATTCGCGCCAGTGGCACACCCTTTTACCCGCCCATTGACTTCCTGCTTCACTGGACACTGCTGTTAGGGGTTATGGATTTACTTGAAAGATGAAAGCATAAATTAGAGAGAGATTAGCATAGAGTATGTGTTTTCTTATAGCTGCATCCTATGAGTTTCCCTCCAGCACCATCTCCATCAGATACATGACACTTGGGAGGTATGATTGTTTTAGTGTTTTTGGTCGATAAGATTCCATAATTAGGCCCATCATAATTGTCAGCACCAGGCCCACTGTGCTCTTAATCCGGCCCTGAGTATCAGTTATGCCTGTAAATTACTATTGCAGTGCAGTACATGCATTAGGAAGTGAAAAAAGGTATTGCTTCACTTTAAGTACATTTTCGTTTTACATACATGCTCTGGTCCCATTGTGTACTTAAAAGTGGGGTATGCCTGTATTTGGAAACAACAATGTCCTACTTGTTAAAACAGTAAAAAATGGTGAGAACACAGAGAAACAATAATTACCCTTATATTCAATATAAAACCTGTAAAAACACAATGGGAAAAACAGGCATAGGGTAATAACGTACAAAAAATATATGAATGAGTAAATACTTGAATAAACTCACATATTCATGAGCCACTTAATATGGAAGCTGGCTCAGACTAGGAACATTGAATGGATTAGTGAGGTGGTCATTGTAATCCAACTGCTTAATTGCTTGCTCCTTCTTGCTTTACAAAATCCAGGATGCAGGATCTTTAATGAAAACCTTTATTCGGTATAGCAGCAAAAAAGACAGCAGCAGTAAAAATTAAAATTCAGCAATTCCACCTCTGCACACTAACGCGTTTCAGCCAAAGCCTTTATCAAAGTGTGAGTCCATTCAGTCAGTTCCATTTTTAAATAGGCAAATTTTCGCGCCTTTTTTCGGAAATAAGCTCCTCCCCCTTTTTTTTTTTTTTTTGCAACTTTATTGGGCATCCTAGCATCCTTAACGATCTCAATTTACTTCCATGTTCATTGAAGAAAAGGAACAGCGAACTAGTCCATTCACTTAAACAGTCTTTCATGTTGCAATAATCAGAGTCCTATTGGCAACATACTTCATACATATTGTCAATAACATTAAAACAAATATTATAGTCAGATATTCTTATTGCAATACGTAGAATATTAGCAACAGTTAAACTCTCTCTTTCTCAAAAAAAGGATTAAAAAAGGTAAAAGAGAGGCAAAAGAAGAGGGAATAAATTTAAAAGGGAAATAAAAGATCAAAATAGAAAAATCTTCTTATTCACATTTAAAGGTATATCGGGAGAATGCATCATACTTAAAATACACTTATTATAATCAATATTTATAAAATATTAATCAGTATTACTAAAATTAGAATTAAAACATATCTTATTAATATAAAACAACCTAAAATAATCTCCAATAGATTTAATAAATAATTATAGTTAAATATAAGTATTAATTTCAAAATCTACGTTTAATCCCCCCGGTGTAAGTGTATCCAAATTAAAAATCCATTTCATCTCATTTTTGCTTAAAAGATTATCCTTATCACCCCCTCTACAGTGTATTTTAATATGATCTATTTCAAAAAAATCCAGGCCTGCTGGGTCTCCATCATGATATTCCAAAAAATGTTTAGATAAACAATGGTTAGGGAATCTTCTCCTGATGTTGTATATATGCTCCCTAATTCGTATTTTTAATGAACGAGACGTTTTCCCTACATATTGTAACCCGCAGGGACATGTTATCATATAAACAACATCAGCAGTATTGCGTGTGATAAAGCGTTTAATTTCATATTCTGTTTTAGTATTAAAAGAAATGAATTTAAAAATTCTTCTATTTTTCCCAGCTCTTACTTTACACCCTCTACAATTTCCACAATAGAAGAATCCTTTCTGTTCCTTTAAAAAGTTATTGGAACATTCTTTCTTTTCTTTCTCTTGGAAGCTGCTAGTTAAAATTTGCTTAAAATTTCTAGCTCCTCTAAAAATTAATTTAGCTTTTTCTCCTATTAGTGGGCGTAACTCATCATCTAACTTTAAAACATGCCAATTTTTATCAATAATTTTACGTAAAGTGCGGTTGTTAGAATTAAAATTAAAAATTAATGGGATAGTTTCTAGTCCTTCTTTTTTAGCTTGCTTATCTTTATATTTCAAAATTTCTAAACGGTCTTCCTCTTTTACCTGTTTATAGGCTTTTTCTAGAATATTTTTATCATATCCCTTTTCTAAAAATTGTTTTTCTAAAATTTTAACCTGATCGTTAAAATCCCGTTCATTTGTACAATTTCTCTTCAACCTTAAAAATTGTCCTTTTGGTATGTTTGATAACCATGGTTTAAAATGGCAGCTGGAAAAATCAATAAAACTATTAACATCTACAGATTTAAAATATGTCCGACTCTTAATTACACCATTATCTATAAAAATATCTAAATCTAAAAAGCTAATATTTGAGGGGCTAATGACATGGGTCAGCTTAATATTCCACATATTATTGTTAAGAGAATCAATAAAATCTAGTAAAGATTTGGAACTGCCTCTCCATATAATAAAAATATCATCTATATATCTTTTATAGAGGACCAGACTTGCCCCTATGTCCAACCTAGAAAAAACATATTTTTCTTCCCAAAATGACACAAAAAGGTTGGCATAACTCGGGGCAAATCTGGTCCCCATGGCAGTTCCCTTGGTTTGGAGGTAAAAGTCATTTTCAAACCAAAAAAAATTGTTTTTAAGAATCATATTGATCCCCTGCACAATAAAATCGATTTGTGTTTCTATAAAATTACCAGATTTATACTTAAAATTAACAATTTAGAAACTATTTGTTATGAACTTGAAAAATTACTAATAAAAGAAATGAAAATAAAGTGGGAAATCTTCACACTGGAGAAATATATCAGTTTACAGATTTCCCCACGAGGTTTAAGATTTTATAAATTACCCACTTTTGAACAAGAGAATAAGAATTTTATGAATATTTGGAATGGAGTCCAAATGCATTGGAGTCATTTACCAAACATACAATGGGAATAATTATAGAACAGAGAACCATTATGCTTCTAGAATTGGATGAAAATATTGGAAAAATTCAAACGCAACTAGAACCCTTTTTTG